GATGACAGGCTTCAATTTTGTTCATTACACCTGTAAAAAATTTATAATATTTTAAGTTTATATAAATTTATGTTGTTTAAAATTTCTTTATTTTAATTTTGTTTTAGAAGTAATTAATTATGAAAAATTATTTATTAACACAGCGAAATTGTAATTAAAATTTTTTTAAAATATTTATTTTATTAATTTCATTTAATCAGTGTTTAGTTTAGTAAATATAAAATCCTGTTTGATAAAATATTCATGTGATAAAACACAATTTAAAAAGAAAATTATATTTATAATACGTTAAATGATTCAAAATTATACAATAAATAGTGATTTAAGTGATATACATTATTTTGAATAATGTAATTTGTCAAATTTTTACTATATATTTTCTATAAGATATACTTAGATAAAATAAAATAGGATCGTCACTAAATCAATCATAATAAAATTTATTAATGATTTATACAGATTTATAATATTTAATTGAAAGGATAATAAAGATGCGACAAATTTGCATAAAACATAGTTTTAATGAGTACGTTTGTAAGTCTTTTTTTTAAATATTTTTCGTAATATTGCGCTTAATTAATTAATGCATAAATTAGGTATAAATAAATTATATTATAGAAATTCCATCTGGTTTGGATTCTTGATTCGTCTGAAATGGATTTAAAGGATCTATTTTTGCAGATAGTGATCGAGAAACAATCTATTGACACACTGATAAATTTTTAACGTTTAGTTATATTAAATACTATATTTATTTTATTTTCGATTTTTTATTAAGTTAATCACATTTTATACAAAAAGATGTATGTATGTATATAGAAAATAGTTTGTCTAAACATTTCTTAAATTCAATTCTTTTTTTCCCTCCTTTTTGTGTTCCCAATTTTGAGTCAGATAAACAGTGATAATGGCTTCAAGTCACGCTTTTTTTCCCTTCTTTTTGCCGGGATGATAAGGAAGTTCTAACTTGTCAGAAACCGGAGATTCGTTGCTCTGTTTGTTTGAAAAAGTTAAGAAACTCCAAAACTTTAAAAATAAAGTCGTTAAATAAATTCATTAACACACGAGCGCCAATCTAAAATACTATAGCTTAAATTCGATTTTATAGGTTTAATGCTAATTTAACGAAGACTAAAAAATTACTTCATGTAAAAGACTACATATTTTTAAATTATAAATAAAAGAAATTGCAAAATTTTGCTGAATAAGCCTTAAACTATAATTTTAAATTCGTAATCTAAATCTGGTTGGTTTATATTTGATTAAAATTATGAATTTGTATAGCATTACATAGATTTGCATTTATTCGATGTGGTATCAACAAACAGTCATTAATTATTGTGTATTATTGAGGAGAATATTAATACATATATATATATTCATATTCTTCCCAATAATATATAATAATACGAATATATTTTAATATTCGTCACATAAATACGCAATAAGTAAACTATATGAATCTTATATATGTGACAAATATTCGTATTCATGTACAGTGTATAGTATTCAAATGATTACTTATGCAAATATGAGGCAAACAAAATTTTAAAATATTCTAATTAAATTCATGATTTTGACTTGAAATTACTCGTGCAAATAAATGACAATTTCAGTATTGAAAATAAATCCAAAATTTTTATCTATTGACATAATTTATACTTATAAATTTGGAGATACATTTCCTTTGTCTCATGCATATTTTGTAGGATAACTTTTAAAACATTGCATATTTTTCACTTATAAATGATATAATGAGGTCTTAATGTTGATGTATCGATGACAATTTTTTATCGAAGGCTATTAAATTGAATTTGTTGAAAGGAATAACGTCTTCTCATCATTCATGCCATATGATTATTATTTTTTCATAGATATAAATAACATAGACTATTCAGCTATAGTTAATATCCACAAATAATAAAGTTGTCTCTGTTGCTTAATAATTTATAGAAAATATATTCTCAAGGCTATTTTTCTCATTTGGGATGCTTAACTATTTAAAAAAAAGACGTTTATAGGACTAAATCTTAAACATAATCGCAAAAATACAGAATTTTAATTATAAACTCGATAGTTTATACATTTATAAAGGCACAATAATTAAAAAACTTGTAAATCATTAACACGATATTAAATGGTTAATTATGAAAATTTCCGTAAAAATAATAAAGTGAATAGTAAAATATTCTTGCAATAACGTATACTTTATTCAAAACAATTAATTCATTTTAATGAATGTCCCTTTCCTGAAAATGCCTTAAACTTCTTCCTGATTGAATCGTCTTTTCCTTCATTTCTCCTTTTTCCGTTTGTACGAAACTCTTCATCGCTTGGTTGATGTGAGCGAATAAATTTCAACGTTCCAATTTCATAATCGAAATCAGGTATCCCTCTGGAATCATTTTCGATTAAATTAGTAAACTGTTTCTCTTCTATCGAATCGGAATCTGTTTTACAATAATCAACTGGAAAGTCGATATCAACATTTAAATTGCAATCAATTGTACAAACTGAATTCATTGGTTCAGTAGCTTTCACACATATCTCATATTCTTTGCCTTGATAATAAATTACAATATTATCTCCCATTGTTAAACAATTATATTTCAATAATGTTGTTTCAAGCACTTTCTTGAAATCAGAAATATGGAAGAATTCTTTGGTCAAAGGAAGAAATTTTACATATTTTGCAGTTGGTAACTTTACTAACGTTGCTGAAATTATATCGCCATTTTCTGCATTTAATTTTCTCATCATCCAAAAAGGAATATACATAAATTTTATATTTTCCGAAAATTCTAAAACTCCGCAATGAGTATAGCATTGATTTACTTCTTCCGATTTATTGCAAGAAAGTTTAAGAAGAATAGGATATTCTATATCAAATTCATCGTATTGTATTAATATTGTCAGTGGCAAAATAATCTTTCCGCCATATTCTTCAAGCTCTTTTCCTTCAAAATTTGATATGGAAAGACATTCGATGTTAAATGTTAATCCTTGGGGTGTGTCGTAGATAGTAATGTCTTCCATATTCGATGTATTACTAGTTGGAATTTGGCGATATCTCTAACAAATGACAATTGTTGGTAATGAATTCATTATTATGGAGTTGTAAACAATAATAAAGGAATTACAAGCATAAAGGCGGAATGTATAATGCATTTACAATAGTTAAGTTATCGCTTTCATAAATAAAATTTATATAATCTAGAGAATATCTATATTATTTTTTCGAAAATTAAAATAAGGAAGAACATATTGTTATATTATAATTATTGAAATTTTAATGTTTTTAATAGAAGAAAACAAAATATTTTTTTCCCCTGTATTTTAGTTGTATTTTATTTGAAGTAACGTAAATATTATTATCTATTTTCTTTCCTGCAACTATTAAGATTTGGATGAAATGTTGTGTAGAAATTGCAACGACGATCTATCGAGACAGAGTTAAAATGAAGTTTACTGAAAAAAGAAAGAAAATTTGAATTGAGTTTATGGCAAAAAACTTCTCAGAATTTAAGATGACAGGCTTCAATTTTGTTCATTACATTCATATTTGACTTGATCTAATTACTGTAATAAATTAGGACGATACAGGGAATTCGAACTGAATCGTCACGAGAATATAGAATATTTATTCGTGAAATCAACTGTAACACAGTTTGAACAACATTCTATACTCAATTTAGTTAACCCGAATATAGTTAAATTCAATAATATTTTGTCCGATTGAAAATAAAATATGTCCAATGTATAAAAGAAACCGCAAGATGACAAGCAACAATATGTCACAATAACATCATCTAGACAGTTACTTCACTTGGATGAGTGAAATAAGTATTATCCGAGTGTAATAGATATTTGGTTGTCATCCAACCAAAAATGCTCTATTTTCTTCATAAATAACAAAACTAAAATCTTCGAATGCAATTTTGTGAATTAAGTCTTTGTAAAATATTTTAAATATAATTAAACTCTTATTTAATTAATTAATTGGGAATATTTTTGATTGAACATTATTAATGATTAGTATTTGAAAAAAATTGTGTATCTTTACAAGCCACAAAAGTGAAAAAAAAAAACTATGATATACTTCTAGAAATAACCGCCAGCTGTCGTGACTTATTTCCGTTCTGCGAAAGAAGCGCTTCGGGAGATGACGTCATCGATCGGTGATTATTCCGGAAGTGACGGTGGCAATGAGCGGAAGTAGCGCTCTCGCTAGTAGTCGTGACTTCATCCACGACTCTGATGCTACTTTTTTAGAATTTTCGATTAATTTTAGTTAAGTCTCGGCCATTAAGTAAGATAATGATCAAATTTAAAATTGACCAAAACTAAATTTCATCAGGGGAGGCTATTTTTAACCGTTACCGTGGTTACGGTTGCTAGGTTACCGTGTCTGTTTTGACCAAAAATAGCGAGCACGACAGAGTCAATGTTCGAAAATTATTCTATAGAAAATGATTGTTTCAAATCGAGTTGTATCTTTCTAAACAAAAATTTGTATCGTTAATTAATGAAAGCATTTAGCATTTCGAACTTATGGGGGGGTGAATGAATTACTTCCGTGTTAAAATATCATTTAAAACGGCTTACTGAGAGTTACGTAATAGTAAAAATCTAATTTGATAGAGCGTGTAGATTTATATAAGAAAAGCCATAGTTACGAGCGCAAATTACAGAATCCTTTCTGAAGTTGGTGCTCGTAACTATGGAATGTTCACACTTCTTGAAACGAATAACGAGAAAAGGTGCCCTGCAATAACTATAATAATTGCAAAAATATAAGTATATTTAAATACACTATACGACTATATACTGTAATACACAGTAACAGTGGGCTAACTAAGATTTTGCTCTTAGCCCACAAGAGGGATGATCAGGGATGCTGATTTAAAAAGTACAAACAGAATGAAGAAAAATTAAGCCTACCATAAAACTTCTTGGGATCCAAAATCCGCATCACCCCCGTAAGTGCGTCAGTGTACAGTAATATTTAAATAGTACTTGTACAGTACAACAGTATAGTGTTATTATTACAGTACTGTACTGTACATAGTGTATTTAAATATAACGAGAAATTATTTATTGTGACATCGTCACAATGCCGTGTTGCAATTTTTAATCATAGTGCCAATTTATTTAATTTAAAATATGTGCTCTCCACCTCAAATTAGTAGTAGCTTGCTCCTCCCTGTACATCATACTTTTCCTTTATCAATAGAGTCGTGCCGGTCATCTNTATACACTATATTTTATGAATTACTGAAAAAGGGACATTAATTTTTCTCTTTAGATATTAGTTTCTTTTCTTTTGGATTATGGATAAGCGTGTTTCGGCAGCTTAGATCACTACCGCATCCAACATGTTACTGAAAGATGAGTATCCCAATAATATTTGGCATGTTCAGATCCCAGTAGAGCCAACCATAAGTTTTCTGTTTGGGGATTTGATTTCTTTTTATTTTGATTGGGTGCATGATGTATTATAAAGTAAGGTTTGTACTTCAAATAATACTTATTTATTTATAAAATCAGCTCGTCATTTATTATACATAACATTTAAAAATTTTCAATTCTAACAATAAAAGTACAGTTGCAGTATTTTTTAGATCCTCTTGACAATATTGCTTTTAAGATCTTAGAAATAATATATTATTTTTCAAAAGAACAAATTTTTTATGCATTTCTGTTTACGAAAAAGGGGTTTATCTTTCTTATCGCATCTTTTTCCCCAAGAAATTAAGCGTATCTTTTAATTTATAATTTTCATATAATAATGTAGATCTGAACGTTATTACAGGTCCATAATTTTATAGGACTATTAAAAAAATGCTGGATATATTTAAACTTCATACATATAATTCATTATTATATCATTTAAAATTAAAAACAATTTAAATGATGTATTTTTATATTTGCTTATAATAAAAGATATCATTAGTATTAATTCATAATTGTAGATTAAAGAAAGCACGAAAACATCAAAATTTTTTATCAAAAAATACATTTTACTTTCCCGGCTGTTATGTATATAAAACAGGAAAGTACTGGAAGCGTGTCAAATTTGATCATTTGGAATTTTTGCAAATCTCAACGTTTTGAGATCTCTTGCACCCAAAAAAGTCAAAATAGAGAGAAAAATTCTTCGTAGTGTATATGTGTTGGCGCCTATTTCGTTTAATATCTCAGGTTAGCGTAAAGATTAATATACGAAATTTGGCCTGGTTACTTGCATACGAGGGATATTAATGTTATTAAATTTTGGTGGTTAAAGGTCAAGGGAGTGAGGAGATAGACGGGTCATTTGTCATATTTTGAAGAGTGTCGGATTTAATGAAAGTTTTACTCGTTATTGGCATTTACAGTTTTTTTATTTAAAAAACTCATCTTTACCCTAAAAATTAAGCTTTTTGTTTTTTTATAATAATTAATAATATTTTAAATTTATGTTTTATTAACATCTCATAACATGGCTTCACATTCAATTTTAATTTTGCGTTAGTATCACATTTCTTAAACAAAAATATTCCGGGAAAGTTATGCAACTCGTTGCTGGATTTTTTTTATCTGAATGATATGCATTGTTTTATTTTAGAGTACTGTAAAACAAGAGTAAAAATTATTTAAATTATTAGCGTGACCTGGTATTACTGTATTATAAGGGAAGCATAGGAAATAAATAGTTGGTGCATAAATTTTGCTAATAGTAGATAAATCTATATATTAGATTATAAATAGTAGATATAAATAAAGTAGATAAATCTGAAAATACTTAGACATATTAAACTTTTAAAAATGTATACTTGTTTTTGCTATATTTTATTTATTTATTTATATTTAGCTTATGGTAAGAAGGCCTTCCGTTGAACATCACATAAATTAGATATCTTTTGATGTTCTAATTATTCGTAAAAAATGATAAAAAAATATTAAATCAATTGTTTAAATAGTAAATTAGTTATTTTTCTGGCAACAGAATCTTATAGATTAAATTTATTTACTTATTTATCGACAGGAAAAAGTGAAATAAACGTCTTTACTTTATTTTCATATCTTATACAATAAATAAATATAAATAGATTAATGACTAGCAAGATACACACAGTCTATCTGAAAATAATAATAAAATGTGTAATATAATATCTTCAACACAAACTCTATTGAAAATATTATTATAATATTATATTAAATTTATAATAAAAAAGATTTCACTTATTTAAGTATGATGCCATGTTAAAGACATTTAACTTGACACAGACAACAGTCAATAACTTAAGTAACCACTTTTTAATGTTCAACTCATACAAAATTAAATGTAGTTTTAATATTTTTATCATTTCTCATTTAACAAATACGCAGGAAATTTATTAATTAAAAAATATAAATAAAAATAATTCAAAGAATAAAAGTATTGAGATAAATATAAGTTGCATTTCCATTTCCGTTGATGTATTTTTAAATGATTCTGGTAGTTTAAACGTTATATATAAAATATAATATTAAGAGATCACTTCAATAGCAATTGACGACAGTAAATTGTGGTAGATGTTATCAATCATTGCCTTAATTTTGGCTGGCTGCTTAATAATAACGTGACTACTAAGATAATTTAAATACTAATTTGATGAAATTTTCGAGTTTATGACCATGATTATCATTAAATTAAAACGATTTTCATAAGTTTTAAAGTATATCATAAACTAAAAGTTATATTTTCGTATAATCTCACACTTATTCGCATAATAATATAATTTTCGTAGCATGAAAAATAATTAAAACTAGTTTTAAAAAAATTGAATTTTTTAACGTTAAATTTATTTTATTTTTAATATATTTAAATTATAAACTCTTGTTTAGAAAATATTATTAAAAGAATGGCTAGAAATATATTTAAAATTATAGTTAATTTTAAGATTTAATTAAACGAATAATGACATATAATCAATTTTGTTCATTGATTAAAATTTGCATAAACAAATAAAACTTTTCGCATTAAAACGTTACAGATATATTCATTTATTATGGATACATTAAAGTAAATATTTAATATTTCTCCTAAATCAATAATTAATTA